AACACCAGCAAGGGGCACCTGCACAGTCAAACAACAGCAACAACAACAACGCAATACCAATGAGCCTCGACGGTTGATCCTACGCACGAGGAAATCAGCAACAACAACCTACCTTCGCCCTGTACGAACCTCAGCAAGGTTCCATCAGCTTCATGCCGCGCAAGCAGCCTTCACCTGAGCAAGAGAAGAAACTAGATGCACTTCAAGTTCAGTCACAGTTTGCGCACGTCTTAAAACTGCAGACGTCAAGACCGTTCGACAGAAAGGACTTCTTTACCTGGTCATTCGAATTCAAGCTGATGATGGAAGGCGCGCAGATTCTTGGCTTCTTCGACGGGTCCCTGCCATACCCAACACACGGGACTCAATACGACAAGCAACAGTATACATATCATTCCATGATGGCGTATACAATCCTACTACGCAATGTCACACCGAACAAGCAGCAGAACATTCGGTTTTACCGAGGATACGGGAACTCCGCCGAGCTCGCGTACAACCACCTGAAGAACCTGTATCAGGCAACAGACAGCGTCAATCAGAGTCGGTTAATGGCACAGCTTACAACAGTGGAAATGAAAGCGGGTGAAAAAGGGATGGCGTATATCAGCCGCTGTCGCAAATTGCGCGACAAACTTCTTCGATGCGGAGGGTCGATACCAGAAGACACCTTCGTCACATTCGTCATTAGCGGTCTTGGTCCTCATTGGCGCTCCACTCGCGCCATACTCCGAGCTCACGGGAAGATCTTCGAAGCAGCACTATGTGCCGAAATTCACGCTGAACAGCAAGACATGGACCTCCAAGAGGAGCGGCACAAGAGAAAAATGTCAGTACCTGAATTCGCGTTCCACACTCAACGGCGCTACAACAACAACAACAACAACAACAACAACAACAACAACAACAACAACAAGCGGCATCAACCAAAACCCGTACCTCCATTCTGTCATGTCTGCAAGACTTTAGGACACCCTCGTACACACTGCTCGAATCGACAGCACTCAACGCCGCAACGCTAACTTTGTCCCTCAAGCAATCAAGTGGCATCCACGCAAGCACACCCCACGAATCAACTGCAGCCTTCAACGATGTCGTCAGCACAATCTGCACAAGGAGCAAGAAACATTGTCAATTGCATGGCAAGACTGACTGACTCCTGCATCACCGAGTCACCACCACACTACTCACCGGAAGAGCAACTCGACAACAACACCCCTCGCCGCGAGTCACTTCAACCAAATCCGATGTATACAGCCATCACTCAAAGCGAGCCGTCCGGGAAAGATACCTGGTTCTTGGACAGTTGCTGCGGACAGCACCTGTGCTCTTCAGGACGCTTCGTTCAACGCGAACACCAACTTCAACGCGAAGTCATCATCACCGTCGCCAACAACCAGAATCTGCGCACACGACGACAAGGTGTGGTGCAACTTCAGTCACGAGAGACAAACGTAATACTGCAAATGTCAAAAGTGTTAATTGTAGAGGGACTCAGCTACAACTTACTGAGTGTCAGTCAGCTAATGGCGAAAGGCATCCACCTCGAAGGAAATAGCACAACAAAGGAGTTCAAGCTGTACCACGGAAGAGGAGGCATTTGCATCGGCAAGGCCGTACTGAATAACAACGTGTTTGTTCTCAACTTCGTTCCAGATCTAGGCACCGCCGACAGCGACGGAATTGTCACTTTCACTTCCTGGACGCATCTACTGGATCTTGATCCTCACTTCAGCCCCGAAGGATTCTGGTACTCGCACACCATTCCTGAGGCAGAACGAACAAGAGCATGAGCAACAATTCAATCGGCAGCAGCAGAGACAACATCGGCAGCAGCAAAGACAACATCGGCAGCAGCCTTGCCTTGGGGGAACCACTTGCACTTTTGCAGTAACGTCAAAAGTGCAAGTGGTGCCTTGGCTGGTCCTGTGCTGCTGCTGAAGGGAAACTTTGTGAATTTGGTCTCAAGGCAGGTAGGGCAGCTCCCAATCTCCTTTGCTCCCCCCTTCACCTCCAACCCCTTCAAGTACCCTTCCTTTACCAATTTCTGCAGCATAGGAATGTTCAAATGGCACAGCCTCTCATGCCACGTCTCCCAATCAGCCTCACCACTCCCAGATGAAGCCTTTGCCCATGCAGGTATCGCATCCACACCAGCAAGCACCTCACAATGTGGCTGCTGTGGCTGCTGCACCTTCTTGACTGCGTCCAGGGCCCCAGCAGTTGGTGCAGTCTTCTCTCCCCCTGCAGCTACCTTAGCCATTGCTGCAGCCGCTGCTGTTGCTGGTGGTTTCCCATTCCAAGGGATGATGGGCAGCTGCCACAGGTCCTTGATCCAGCTGCTCTTCTCCTCCAAGTCCCACAGCAGCAACTTCCCAAGCTTTGCACGGCAGCTGGTTGGGCCGAAAGTCACTTTGGCCTTGCTTTTCTGCAGCCGGCGCACAGAGAGGAGGTTAGCGGATAAACCTTCAACCAACAGGACATTTCCAAGTCCCACAAGCCCCCCATTGGCTCCCATCACCTTGGCATTCCCAACACCAATCACAGGGAGCAAAGCACCTGAAGCGGCAGCCACAAACTTGATCTTGCCAGGGGGCTTCACCTGATCAAGCAGATCTGCCCGTGGGGTCATGTGACTTGTGCAACCTGAATCGATCACCCAGTGAGTGAGGGGGTGCATCACAACCTTCCCAACTGAACCCACATCACCCCCACTCCCTTGCACATCCTCAACAATGAGGAACATCCCAGGGTCGGCTTTACCTTGTGCACCATCACTTTGTGCACCTGAACCTTGCACAGCGCCACCGCGTGCACGTTCACCACTTGGCGGCTTCATGCCTGGAGGGGCCCATCCCTCAGGCCGGCTGAAACACTTGAACCAGGGGTGTCCAGTCTTCTTGCACTACCAGCACGCACCCTCCATTCGGGTGCTCCCCCTGCAACCAGAGCTCCCATGCCCCTCATTATAGTCACCTCGGCCTCTCCCTCTGCCAAAGCCTCTCCCACGGCCTCGGCCTCTCCCTCCCCCTCTTCCTCTGCTGCCTCCTGCAGATCCATACCCCTCAGCAGTTTTGTTGGCAGCACCACCTCCTGTGTGGCGCTTGCGGAAGTCCTCCTGCAGAATCTGCTGCCGTAGCCACTCAGGCGTCCATTTGTCCTGCTGAACATTGAGGGTGGGGATGAGGTTGTCCCAGGAGTTGTCGAGCACCGAGATGATCTTGGTGCACTTTTGCATCTGCGACACCTCGCTGCGCGCAGCTGCCATCCTCGCATAGGTGTCCTTGATCTTGTCAAGGACCGGTTTCACATCATCTCCCGGTTTCATGGAGAGGGCAGCCAACTCCTTCTCCAACACAATCACCATCGGCAGCGTGTTGGGCTGAATCACGTCGCGTAGCAGCTTCCATGCCTTCGGTCCGGAATCATCCAACTCCACCAAATCCTTGATGTGCTGGAACATGTCGTTGGTGACCGATTGGAGGATGAGGTCGTACACCACCGCGCTCTTCTCAATCCACCGATCGCGGGCATCTCCTTCCTCCGGCATCTTCTCCTCTCCCATTGCAATTTTCAGCAGCTTGTAGCGCTTGAAGGCGCTCCGCATCCGCCCGCTCCATTCTTCATAGTTGGAGCCATCCAAAGCTTCGATCTTGGATGGTGGTGGTTCACTCCTCTTCTCAACTGCATCTCCTCTTCCTTGACTCATCTCCTCTGCTCCCAATCACAATTTCAGCTCCCCCTTTGCTGTCCACACCGAAGTCCCACAATATTTTCACAAGTGTCGGCGCCAATGAAATTTCGGCAGAGTTTCCCCTTAGCGGAAGTCATATGCAACCTCTAGAACTCCACATAGGCACGCCCACAGGCCATGGTGGGTCTAGGAGGGTCTTCACACTTCAGTAGACTCCCCAGAAGGTCCTTAATCAGCTCTGATACCACTTGTTAGAGACTAAGGACGGAGTCTATGAAGATAAGGTGCCTAAATTTCTCAAAAAACGTTGGTCTCTATTTCTGGACAAAATAGTCGCGCTCACAAGAAACGCCGTCGACAAAAACTGCACTTTGAAAACTACACTCATTTCAGATATGTTGTAGCTCTAATTCGTGGCTACAATTTCCAAGTTGAATCGTACAAAAAGGTAAAGTAATTCTTGAGTTATCAATTTTGGCGCACTAGGGGGTATGCTGCCATGGAATCTTAACTCAATCACAAGAGTCTCGTACAAGTTCACAATTACTACACAAGAGAGTTAGAGTAGCACTAAACCAGATGGAAGGGATGAGGAGGATGAGAGGGAAGGTCCCAAGAGAGTCCCCAACCAAGGAAACCCCATGCCACACAATTCCCTTCCCCATAGGCAACCCAACTTTGACCTTTGTCACTATCCCAACCTCCACAATCCACCTCAACCCAACTTGGCCACACTTGCCAACCTGGTTTGGTTCCTCCCAACTACTTGGCAGCATCTACACTGATGTTGACAAATTTACCAACCCCCAAAAGTCTGTACCCCATATTGAGTCAACCCCACAACTTCCCACAGTTGCCACAATCAAATATGAAAAGCATACCAACTCCAACGTTCGTAACTTTCTTGTTCGTTCTCCGATTGAATCGATACTTGGTTTGTCGGAAAGCTCTTGAGCAGAGAAGTCACTTCAAATATCTGCTCAAGCCAAAAAACATTTGCACACACTCAGAAAATTCAAACCACACAAAACACAATTTCTTGCACACGCTCACACCACGCATGCAACGCACGAACATGTGATGGGAGGCAGACAGACGTGAATGCAAATGATAGCATCACATAACAGCGGGAAGCACCTGAGTCAAGTGTGAAGGTGTGCAAGGCCTCAGCAGGCGCAGTACCAGAGAGAGCAGACTCACTAGCACCTAGAGCAGCAGCCTCACCAGCACCTAGAGCAGTAGACTCTATACCTGGGTCGGACGGCACACACAGGTAACACTCACCCTCAGCACTAGTAGACACAGCCTACTTGGCAGCAAGGATAGCATCAACATCTAGAGCAAAGATATCAACATTCTGCCCAAGCACATCAGCCCAGCTAGGGAGCTCAGGGTCGTCAGGAAACAGCGCGCGCCAGGCGTCAGACAGGCTGCGACGTGTGTGGTCCTCTGCACCCACGGCGTTCGCCGATGCAGAGAACGTAAGTGCAGGGACCAGCACCCCCAGACCTCCCACGCCCAGCGTACCACTCACGAAGCTGCTGGGGCGACGGGGTCTCTTGGGAACGCGGCTGCTGCTGGCGCTGGCTACCGCCAAAGCCTCCATGCTGCGCAGCTCCACCCCGACCAGCACCACCACCGCCGCCACCTCCAGCTCCGTTGCCACTGCCTCCACCACCGCTGCCGCTGCCTCCACCACCTCCACTGCCACCGCCGACGCCCCCACTCCCGCCACCACCCTTGCCTCCACCCCCACCCCCTCCGCCTCCTCCACCGCCACCACCGCCGCCCCCGCCGTCTCCTCTACCACCCTTGCCCTCCTTGCCCTTGCCATAGCAGCGCCTCCCACTAGGAGCAGACGCAGGCCCGACCTCCTTGGTACCAAGGAGGTCGACACCAGCAGAAGAAGCAACAGAGGGCAGAAGGGGAATGGGGGAACACCCCTCAAAGAATGGGGCGCGAGGGTTGCCGCGAGAAGCACCTAATAGCAACTATACTCTTCTCAGCTGCAGTGAGGTGCTCCTCCAGCAGGTCAACGGAGAGCTCGGTGGGGCAAAGGGAGAGAAAGTGGTCCCTGACTGAGCAAAGGGAGTCAAGGAGACGGATGACTAGGTAGAAGAGGGTGATGTACATGGGGGGGGGGGGGGGGGGGGGTTCTTGGCGCAGAACTCGGAGGGAAGGGCAGCACGGTAGTGGGTGTCACTAGTGCGGAGGTGGGTAATGAGGTCAGCGACTGTGGCAAAGGCGGCCAGGTCAGGGAACAGGTACGGTAGCATGAGGCGGCTGAGGGTAGCAGTGGCAGGGGAGGAGTAGCGCGCTACAACAACGTCATACAGAGACTTGGCAGCCTTGTACCGACCAAAGTGCGCGCGCTCAGCAGAAGGCAGGTGACTACGAACAGCAAGGCAAGCAACAGCGTCACGAATAGTCCACTGTGAGCGAACTCTACTGTCAGCATCGGCAGCAGGTGCAGCAGAGGCGCCGGACGTGAGATCAAAAAGCGAGACTCCGTCTTTAGAATCGCACTAAAGAAATAGCTGCAGATCATCTACCCAGACATTGAAGTCAACTGCACGACCCTTAGCATCGAAGGTAAGAACCGTAGGGCTAGCCATGGCGGCAGTAGCAGCAGTGGCAGCAGGAGCAGTACTAGCAGCAGAATTAGCAGTAGCAGCAGAAGAAGCGCGGGCAAGGCAGCGCGGCGCGACTCGGTAGGGCGGCGCGGCTCGGCTGGGCGGCGCGGCCCGGCTGGGCGGCGCGGCTCGGCTGGGCGGCGCGACTTGGCCGGGCGGTGCGGCTGGGAAGTGGGTGAGGGGGGTCGGAGATGGTGGAGGGAGTGGGAAGAGGAGGAGATGAGTGGCGGTAGGAGGAAGACGGTCAAAGTCAGCCCAAATAAGAGAAGGAGGCAGAGGAGAAGGAGAAGCCTTGGAGGAGGGGTAGAATGGGTGGGATTCATCGAAGAAAACATCTGGGCTGCGATAGAGTTTGTTGGTGGTGGGATGGAGGAAGAGGTAGTCGGGCGAGTCTGAGTTGTGCCCAAGGTACACACACATGATCGTTTTGGGAGCAAGTTTGCCGCCAGCTGCACGACGGGCTTGGGAGTTGGGGAGGACATAGGAAGTACACCCCCATACACGAAGAGGTCAGACGGACGGCTTTTGACCCATCCACAGCTCTGCGGGGGTGGTGTGGGTGTGGTGAGGATGAGGATGGAGATTGTGGAGGGCGGCAGCATGGAGCATGGCGTATCCCAAAAGAGATGAAGGAGCGGAAGCATGAGTGAGGAGGCAGCGAGCAATCTGCACCAAGATGCGGTTTCGGCTTTCAGCAACCCTGTTCTGTTAAAGACTATCCGGGAGAGTGAAGGTCTGACGAATACCCTCAATAGAACAGAAAGCTTTGAGAGTGTTGTTGCGGAGATCACCGCCACCGTCAAAGTGAAGAAACTTGATTTTGGTTTTGAAGTGTGAATGAGCCTGTCGGGCCCATTCCATGATGATGGCTGGGGCCTCAGATTTGGCGGTGAGAAGGTGGACGGACACATAGAGGGAGTAGTCATCAATGATGACAAGGAAGTAGAAGTGTCCGCCACGGAAACGAACAGGAGCTGAACCCCAAATGTCCATGTGCACGCGATCAAGAGGTGCGGTGGAGATGGACTCGGTGGGAGGATGGGGCTGTTCACGAAGCGCGCTCTGTGCGTAGTCAAGGCAAGGCGGCCCTAGGTTGAGGCTGGAAGGCCATAGAGGATGGTTTTTGGCAAGGTCTGAAAGCGCGCGGAAGTTGATGTGGCCGAGGCGGTGATGGAAGAGCATGGTTTTGTCGGAAAGGAGACGGCAGTGACAGGTGGAGGAGTCTGAGGAAGGGAGCGGAAGGTGGGAGAGCGAGCACGTTTGAATGGGAGGTACAACGAGTGTGTAGAGGTTGCTGGAGTTGAGGGTGAAGCAGGCTAGATGAATGCCGGTTTTGGCGTCAAACATGTCACATTAGTCGACATCATTGGGAAAGATGGTGATCACTCCTGCATGTTGGATTTCACGTTGTGCAATGAGGTTATAGCGGAGGGTTGGGGCACAGATGCTAGTGACTGTGCTGGATGGGAAGGCTGGACAGGGAACTGTGGAGGACCCATGGCATTGGATGGAGAAGCTAGAATCAGCTCCAAGGAGAGGGGTGGGAGCTTGGTAGGGAATGAATACGGTTTGGTCTTTGAGCACTGTGTGGGTGGCACCACTGTCTAGTACGAACTCGATCCAATATGTGGTTGAAAAACCGATGTACTGCAACTCCTTCTCATTAATAATGCCAGCATCAGAGAACAACAGATTAAGGCGAACATCAGACGGGGCGCTAGCAAATGCGTGTGCAGGTTCCTCCACTGCCTCAACCTGGTTCACGCGACGGGGTGATGCCCAGTTGGGAGGGTGCCTGTCCTTGGAAACACCATGCACATCACCTCACTTCTTGAAGCAATTGGCCTCAAGGTGGTTGGTTCCGTTGCATTTCTGCCCCGCACGTGGACCCTTCCTAATGAGGTAGGGGCATGGGGGAAAGGAGTTGCGCCTCTGGCCCTACTGAGAGCGAAATGGGATACCAGGGGAGTAGCGCACCGCATTGACGGATGCTCCTTTTCAGTAGAGAGGAGGGCCGATGCGACTTTTTCGAAAGTGAGTTCCTTGGTGGGGAGCTATTTGAGCATGGAACTGGTAACGTTGTAAACCGGAGTAAGTCCTACGAGAAGCCCAGCTGCAGGTGCCTGTTCGAGGAAGATGATCTCAATTTCCTTGAGCTCCTCATGGATGTTACGGATTTCAGAAACGTAGTATGCCTGGGCATTGCTCAAGACGGATTTGGAACATGCGAGGAATGAGGATTGCTACCCCCACTGCAGTTTTGTCATGAAAGCGGTCCTGGAGGTATTTCCAGATGTCATGTGCAGAGCGAAAGGTGCGGTAAGATTTGACAAGATCAACCGGAGTGGAGATGATGACCTTAATCGCTGCGGCATCTGCTTGCTCCCACACACTGAAGTAGATCTCATACTGGGTGGTCTTATCCTCAAATGCGGTCTTAGGTGCAGCAGTTGCTCCTTCACCAAGAGGATCGGGAGGGAGACGCATCTTGCCCTTGCCACGGTTGAGGAGGATGTCCTTGAGGCAAATCCCCTTAAGCTCCGTGCTAAGGAGGTGCTTCTCTACTCCGTAGCACCACTCCCCGAAGTTGGTGCTCGTGCCGTTGGGAGCAAGGTTAAGGATGATGAGGTTTCCGACAAGGGTGGAAGTGGAAGTCGCCATTTCGCGCGAAGCGCACCGCTAGAGTCTCCGATACGTAGCGGAGCGAAGCGGGATTGAAGGAAGTCCGAAACGCGATTTTGGCAATAGAAGCCTCGTATTCTGATCTGCTACACTGCTTCGCCGATGCCCCCTGTTCTGCTTCGCCGCTGCCCCTTTTCCGCTTCACTGCTGCGCCACTGACCTGTTCTGTTGCGCCGCTGACCTGTTCTGCTGCGCCGCTGAACCTATTCTGCTGCGCCCCTGAACCTGTTCTACTGCGCGGCTGAACCTGTTCTGCTGCGCTGATGAACCTGTTCTACTGAGCCGCTGACCTGTTTTTCTGCGCTGCTGAACCTGTTCTGCTGCGCCGCTGAACCTGTTCTACTGCGCCGCTGAATCTGTTCTGCTGCGCCGCTGAACCTGTTCCGCTGCGCTGATGAAAAACCGGTTCAAAGTTTAAGAAATTGCGAAATTTGCCACGAAGATTAAAAACCAGAAGCTTACGATGACGGAATTTGAAGGCGGAAAATGTCGCCGTTGAAAACTGAGATGCGCGATGAAGGAAGTTGAATGCGCGATTGTCTGGAGCTATGAATTGAAGTTGAAAAAACACTAAGTGTAGGAGCCGGGAGCCGAAATAGGCATAGCCTAGAAGAGGAGAACGCATCGCGACGCCAAGGATCGGATTCCGCGTGAGCGGATTTTACTAGCTCGATACCATGATAGAATTGGAGCTGAAGTGATTGATTGATCAAGAAGGCACTAGGCCTCAAGTACAAACAAGGTTGGGTTGAGCAAAGCTAGGGAAAGGATGGGATGGAAATCCTAGCAAATCTCCAATTGGTGAGTTGGCAGATTTGCAGGATTACAAGGGAATCCCAACCAGATAGGGTTGGGATCACAAACCTACACCCAACCCGCAAATAACCTAGACCATATAAAATAGAGTACACAAAGTGTTGATAGCCTATTTCTAAGAAAGGGGACGACAACAGCATGGAAGGTCTGTGCCATGCTCCCACAAGGCGTGTCCTAGACACACAAAGAACTACCTAGTCAGCTCAAGAAGCAACACGGTAACATGACACGGCGTGTCTTCTAAACGCTGACGACGCCGTGCGATCAGCAATCGAGCTGGACAGCAAGCAGCAAGCCGGCACACAGGAAATCAGCTAGAGGCGTCGTACCAGCCCTGGGGTGTAGCACCTGGTGTAGTCGTATCCGCCCCTCATTCACACGATAGTGCAGCGGGGAAAGCAGCACAACTCACCAGCAGCAGGTCGTCGTTGGTGGCAGCTCTGGGGTGCACTACCTGGTGCGGCTGTATGCGCCCCTCTTCTATGAGAAAACCCACGATGCGCCCCCAATAGCTCGAGTCAAAGGGGTGCCTGATGGGCGTGAAAAGGAAAGGGGTTGGGAAGGAGGAGAGTTGGAAGAGAGCGGGAGCATTGGGAAACAGTCAATCAAGTGGTTGGACGGAGGGAGCGGGGGGGGGGGGGGGGGGGGAGAGGCAAAGGGAAGGGGAAGAGAAGCGGAAGAGAAAGGGAAGCAGTCAGAAAACGGGTAAGACAGGGAGTTGCTATAGGGAGGATGGGACAGGTGAGGAAGTGAGGGGGCTATATGAAAAAGGGGTTGAGAAAGAGGGAACTAAACAGTGACAGTGGAGCACAGAGCGTGGCTTGGAGGCAGAGTGTATAAATAGAAAGGAGGGGAGAAACAAAAAGAAGGAAGTGGTGGGGAGGAGAGGGGTTGAAAGCAGTTTACAACAGAGAGAAGGCAAGTGCAGGGCTGTATGAGCTCCATGGTGTGTCGGCATGTGTGGGTGTTTGTGAGAGAATTGAAAGCAGAATGATGTGAACTAAGCAATGGAATGTGGTACAAATATGCAACCCTAGAAATGTGTACCCCATATGGGCTACTCAACTAGAGCCTACAGAACATTTTGATTTGACACACCCTCATAGGCAAAGTGGGGGAGAACAAGGGGTCACAAAACCAAGCAAGCAAAACAAAGCAAAGCTCAGGGTGGATCACAAAGTCACCACACATTCCGAGCACAAGTTCAAGGCCAGAAGGCCAGTTCACAAGCAGGAGCACACATATATATATAAAAGGCTAAACAACAAGAGCAGGAGTATATGTATGTGACAATACAAGCAAGGTCAAGAAGTGAGCAAGTGAGGCAAGGCAGGCACAAGACCAAGCTGAGCGCTGATGATCACAAGGCGCAAGTCGCAACTGACCACGCTGCTGCAGCTCACGAGCAAGAAAGTAGCGGAGAGCAATGTGCTTCGTTCTGTGCTCCAGGCGCTGCTCCCGACACAAGGCCAGCATGGCCTTGTTGTCTACGTACAGCACTGGAGGAGAACGAGGCGGCTCTCCGAGGTCAGTCAGCAGGTAGGTGAGCCAGCGAAGCTCCTGAGCAGCCATGGCTCCTGCGTAGATCTCAGCCTCACAACTGGAGCCGAGAACGGAAGACGAGCGAGTAGCCCGCCACGAAACAGAGCCGGAACCAAGGCTGAAGGTGTAACTCTGTGACGACCGCTGTGTAGCCTGGTCGTCAGCCCAAGAAGCGTCTGCGTGCCCAGTGAGGACCACTGGACTCTGCCCTCCAAGCACTAGCCACATGCCCGACGTACTGCACAAGTAGCGCAACACCCTCTTCGCTGCAGCCATGTGCTCCGGTCTGTGTCTCCCAGGAGCAACATAGCGTGCAAGAATGCTAAGAGGGTATGCAAGGTCAGGTCGTGTGCAGGTCATCAGGTACATGAGGCAGCCAACAAGCTCTGGGTCCGGGCCACTCGACTCTACAGACTCATCCGAAGGCAGAGCTGAGAGCGAGTGGCGAGTAGGCAGAGGAGTGGGCTGAGGCGAGGAGTACGTGAAGCCGAAGCGCTGAAGGACCTGCTGCACCATGTGTGACTGAGTCAGGGTAATGGTGCGGCGTGCTCTGTCCCGGGTGATCTGCAAGCCAAGGTAGTTGCGCAGTTCACCCAGGTCTGTGCACGTGTGTCTCTTCAGCAGCTCGGACTTCACGTGGGCGAGTCCAGCAGTCTCAGTACTGGCAAAGACCAAGTCGTCGACGTACACGAGGATGTAGAACGGCGGCAAAGAGGTGTCGGTGCGCACAAACAGCGACGGGTCGGCACTAGAGGGAGCAAACCCAAGAGCCGCAAGCGTAGTCCTCAGTGTGTCGTGCCACTCACGCGGTGCCTGGCGGAGACCGTAGACTGGCCGCCGGAGGCTCCACTGGGTGCCAGGAGGAAAAGTCCCAGTGAAGCCAGGTGGGCGGCGCAGCCAGATCTCCTCGTGCAGGCTACCCTGCAAGGAAGCAGTGCTGAAGTCAAGAGAGTGAAGCTCGTAGTCGCGCTGAGCGGCTATGTGCAGCAGTACCCGAACAGTGGTCATCTTCAGGGTGGGAGAGAAGGTCTGAAAGTAGTCAACTCCCTGCCGCTGACTGAAGCCACGAGCCACGTACCGCGCCTTGAAGACTCTCTTCGTGCTCCCAGTCCTACTGTTACGCGTCTCCTTGCGACTGTCGTCAATGACCCTTCTTTTGAGTCCACTGCTGCATCTGCCCTAGTTGCTGAGCTCGTCGACTTTGCTGCTCACTGTCGTCTAGACTACGCTGCTAGTCTTGTCGCTGAGTCTGAGTCTGTCTGTCCTCCGTCCGTCGGGGGTGAGTGTGCCCTTGGCACGGACGTCCTTGAGGACAGGCAGGAGGAGTTCCAGTGTCTGGCTGCTGCTTCACCTCATCTCGTGTCCGTACTGCTTACCCCTGAGGGAGACCCGGATGCACTTGACATCCCGACTCCGCGCTCTTACGCGGAGGCAATAGATGGTCCCTACTCGTCTCAGTGGCAGGCAGCTATGGACGCAGAGATGGCTTCCTGGAAGTCCACATGCACCTACGTTGACGCTGTTCCCCCTCCTGAGACGAACATTGTAAGTGGCATGTGGATCTTCAGGGTGAAGCGGCCACCAGGTTCTCCACCTGTCTTCAAGGCGCGGTACGTGGCTCGTGGCTTCAATTAGCGGCAGGGAGTTGACTACTTTCAGACCTTCTCTCCCACCCCGAAGATGACCACTCTTCAGGTGCTGCTGCACATAGCCGCTCAGCGCGACTACGAGCTTCTCTCTCTTGACTTCAGCACTGCTTTCTTGCAGGGTAGCATGCACGAGGAGATCTGGATGCGCCGCCCACCTGGCTTCACTCGGACTTTTCCTCCTGGCACCCAGTGGAGCCTCCGGCGGCCAGTCTACACTCTCCGCTAGGCACCGCGTGAGTGGCACGACACACTAAGGACTACGCTTGCGGCTCTTGGGTTTGCTCCCTCTACTGCCGACCCGTCGCTGTTCCTGCGCACCGACACCTCTTTGCCGTCGTTCTACTTCCTCGTGTACGTCGACGACTTGGTCTTTGCCAGTACTGACACTGCTGGACTCGCCCACGTGAAGTTCGAGTTGCAGAAGAGACACACGTGCACAGACCTGGGTGAACTGCGCAGCTACCTTGGCTTGCAGATCACCCGGGACAGAGCACGCCGCACCATTACCCTGACTCAGTCACACATGGTGCAGCAGGTCCTTCAGCGCTTCGGCTTCACGTACTCCTCGCCTCAGGCCCATCCTCTACCAACTCGCCACTCGCTCTCAGCTCTGCCTTCAGATGAGTCCGTAGAGTCGAGTGGCCCGTACCCAGAGCTTGTTGGCTGCCTCATGTACCTGATGACCTGCACACGACCTGACCTTGCATACCCTCTTAGCATTCTTGCACGCTATGTTGCTCCTGGGAGACACAGACCGGAGCACATGGCTGCAGCGAAAAGGGTGTTGCGCTACTTGTGCAGTACGTCGGGCATGGGGCTAGTGCTTGGAGGGCAGAGTCTAGTGGTCCTCGCTGGGCACGCAGACGCTTCTTGGGCTGACGACCAGGCTACACAGCGGTCGTCACAGGGTTACACCTTCAGCCTTGGTTCCGGCTCTGTTTCGTGGCGGGCTACTCGCTCGTCTTCCGTTCTCGGCTCCAGTTGTGAGGATGGGTTCGACGCAGGAGCCATGGCTGCTCAGGAGCTTCGCTGACTTACCTACCTGCTGACTGATCTCGAAGAGCCGCCTCGTTCTCCTCCAGTGCTGTACGTAGACAACAAGGCCATGCTGGCCTTGTGTCGGGAGCAGCGCCTGGAGCACAGGACGAAGCACATTGCTCTCTGCTACTTTCTTGCTCGTGAGCTGCAGCAGCGTGGTCAATTGCAACTTGCGTACGTGGCCTCTGAGGCCAACACTGCTGATATCTTCACCAAGGCACTTGCGCCTTGTGATCATCAGCGCTTCTGTACTCAGCTTGGTCTTGTGTCTGCCTTGCCTCACTTGCTCACTTCTTGACCTTGCTTGTACTGTCACATATATATACTACTGCACTTGCTTGTTTAGCCTTTTATATATATATGTGTGCTCCTGCATGTGAACTGGCCTTCTGGCCTTGAACTTGTGTTCGGAATGTGTGGTGACTTTGCGATCCACCCTGAGCTTTGCTTTGTTCTGCTTGACTGGTCTTGTGACCCCTTGTTCTCCTCCACTTTGCCTATGGGGGTGTGTCAAATCATAATGTTCTGTAGGCTGTAGTGGGGTAGCCTATATGGGGTACACATTTTTAGGGTTGCATATTTGTACCACATTCCATTCCTTTGTGCATTCATTCTTGTTTCGATTCTCACAGGGAACACAAGGCGGCACAGCAGCACAGAGCAGCACAGGGCGGCACAAGGTGGCTCAAGGTGGTACGGGGTGGCACAGGGTGGCACAAGATGGCTCAGGGTGGTACGGGGTGGCACAGGGCGGCACAGGGTGGTACGGGCGGCACAGAAGCAGTAGAGCCAACGAGAGGGAAAATGCACGTGGAGTGGAAGCACAAGTACAAAGCATATTGTGATGCTAAGATGCTCTCCACTCCAACATCACTAGGCTACTTCACTCCACCGACCCTACCTTCCTCACAACCCACCCCACCTCTCTATTGCCATCTAACCCCTTTTGATAATGGTCATGTGAACTCAGCCCAGCTTCCAAAAAACAACCAACCTTTACCATCCATCACCTCTCTCCCCATCCCCCCCACCACACCCCCCTCTCCTCATCCCCCTCTCCCCATCCCCCTTCCTCACCTCCCTCTCTTTCCAACCCCCTCTCTCCTCACTCACCTCTATTCTCACTCCCCTCTTTACTCGCCCCCCTCGCTACCCAGCCTCTCTTTTCCCAGCCTCCCCTTTCCCAGCCTCCCCTTTCCTCAACCCCTCTCACCCCACGGACCCTGTACGGCAAACACTCCTCCCCTCCCGTCTGCCTCCCTTAGCCGTCGCCTTCTCTTTCCCCTGCCCCTCGCCTTCTCTTCTCCCCCACCCTTGCCTTCGCTTCCCCTCCCCCTCACCTTATCATCCTCGTTGCTGCCGTTACCTTCTCTTCCCCCCGCTCCTCACCTGGTCGTCCCCAACATCAAACAGCAGTTCCAACAGCATTAATCGCTGCCTCATCTCCTCGTCACCCCCGACGCCATCACCAGCCCTCCGCCCTCCTTGCTCCACCTCCTCTACGCCCTCCGCTTCCGCTCCGCCACACGACGGCTGAGTGACGCTTGTTGTGCTTCTAACGGGATCCGCACCACCGCGCAGACAAACATGTTGACGGCTAGCCGTCTGGCTCTCGAGCGCTGCGCTTTCACGACCGAGGAACAAGAACATGAGCAGTTGTTTCTGGATAAAGAGGGAAAACGACGGCTAGCCAACTCTCTCGTCGTCTTTCCACCAGCGGTCGGGACTGATCGCTCCGGGCTAATGCGATGAGGTGCACTGTAACGGGGACAAACAAGAACTACGTGGCACTTGAGCGACCGCAAAGCATGAGTGGCTCGTTTTGGCAGAGCTGCGGCAGTAACAGAAGGGTCAAGAGCGGTGGCAGCTGCAGCGGAAGCAAGAGCGTGATGCAGCACGATCATTGGAGCTGGGCGCGGCGGACCAGCACGCAACAATTCCCGCATTGCAAGGAGAGGGCGACTACGAGCGAATCGGTGAATGTCATAACTACACAATGTCAAATTGGGCGGGCAAGCCAGATGTGTTCGCGTTAGGACTTACCCCTCACCTTTTCATAAAAAAAACCACTTTACATTGTCCACAGGTTTGGTCTATTAAGTTTTCTCTTTAATTGAATACAACCATCGGCTTTCTAAAAAAATGTATCTGATTAATTATTCTCAATAATATCAATAATTTATCCAAAGTACTTGCGTATTAAATATAACAAACTATTGTGGCACTTGAGTTATGTGTTTTGTATATACATTAGAACGTCAATGAATTTCAAGTGATTTTGGTGGAGTTTTCCATTCCTTTGTACAGAGAGAAACTTTGATACTTGTTGGCCGCTTGTATGCATAGACATTATCAACATTCGTAAGCGGAGTTTCCTGGTGAAGTGGCAAATATTTGGATTCGGTGTCTCAATGCAAGGAACAACAAGGGTCAAGGATGGTACAAAGAGAATAGGAGGAGGGCGGAAGACAAGGGAAAGAGAAATATGATAGGAGACAAAGAAAGTAAGATACTAAAGAGGGCACTCGACGGCACAAGGGGCGGGGGAAGGTGTCAACGGAAGTTGTGTTTGGCCCCGTCCTCGCATGGGCGGAGCCAACTCTGGGAGCCACGAAATCGCGGTGGACCGTGGGAACCACGAAATTGCGGTGGACCGTGGGAGCCACGAAATCGTGGGGGACCGTGGAGCCACGAAATCATAGGGGAGCGTGGATCCACGAAACCGCTGAGGACCGCGGTGGCCGAGAAACCGCGGGAAGACCGCAAAATACCCGGTCAACCAGGATACCCGGGCGACGTGCGCGAAAGTCGCCAGGGATGTTGTCATACGAAGACGATCTCGGGGGTGGTATCCCAAAGTCGACGTGGCTGGTGGGCGCCGTCACGGTTGAAGTGTCTGCGCTAGGCGTGTGACAGGGAGTTGGGCGCCAGCCAGCTGCACGCACCTGCGAAGCTGGTGCACTGTTGTCCCGCGGATGCAACGCTGTGGAGCCGACCTACTGCAGCGTTAGCACACCGCGGGCCTGCAACGCTGGCGAGCCGCGACTCTGCTCTGCTGGAGCGCAGTCGACCAAGTCGTGGTGGCACGCGGTCGACCGTGCTGCGCTGGCAGTGGACCAGCATCCTTGTTAGGTCTGATGTAGTCAGTGTTGCCAATGTTGATGCAATCATTCTGAACTTTTGTTGTTATGTTTTCCTAGTGAAACTCTTGCCAATTTTCCCCGTGAACTATCAAGTAGTGTTAGCACTTCGAAACGACTAAGAAACGAACGAACGCTACGATCACTCTTGCCCCGTGCCCAGCCCGTAGTCTAGCTCCCGCTGCATTAGTTATCTCCGCATGGTGCGGTGAGCGTGGACGACACCGCGAAGATACCTTCTCATCTCCTGTGCTCCCATGTAGGGTCGCCGCGTGTGCTCATCATGCCCAACGCCCCATACCTCGCGCGTCCTACCTCCTGCTCCCCTGTACAGCTGCAGCGTGTAATCATCATTCCACCATACTTCCCACGGTCCCCCCATACTTCCACTCGTTCCTTCCTTTCCTCTCACCTCCCGCACTCCTCTGTACACCTGCAGCGTGTAATCATCATTCACATGCTGTTTTGCCGTGCCCGTGATGGCATCAAGGTGCTGTGCCACAGCCACTGCCTCCTCCTCCAAATCTCCCTATTCCCAATGGCCCCTACCTACCCCACACACACACCTTACCTCCCGCACTCCTCTGTACAGCTGGAGCGTGTAGTCGTCATTCACATGCTGTTTTGCCATGCCCGTGATGGCATCATGGTGCTGTGCCACTGCCACTGCCTCCTCCGTTCCCAATGGCCCCTACCCCATACCATACCATACCCTACCTGCCCCACCATCCCCCCCCCCCCCCCGTTCCCCTACTTCCACTTGTTCCTTCCGCTCACCTCTTGTGCTCCTCTGTACAATTGCAGCGTGTAATCATCATTCACGTGCTGCTTTGCCATGCCCGTGATGGCATTGTGGTGCTGTGCCACTGCCACTGCCTCCTCCAGAGGGAACGTCGAGGCGAGACGGGACAGCGGGGGCGAGGGGGCGTGGATGGCAGAGAGGTTGGTGGAGAGCTGCACGGGCACCATGAGGCGGGAGGTTTGGTTACCCCACCCTTGTAAAATGGACCTGCCCACTGATGCTTCTAGGAGCATGGCTGCCTGCAGGACGAGCAATGTGAGCATGGAAAGGAGGAGATGGACGGATGTGGAGGGGTGTATGGGAGGGCAGGGGCGAGGGGGCGTGGATGGCAGAGAGGTTGGTGGAGAGCAGCACGGGCACCACAAGGCGGGAGGTTTGGTTCCCCCACGCTTGGAGGTTGGACCTGCCCACTGATGCTTCCAGTAGCGTGGCTGCCGGCACGAAGAGCATCGAGCGAGAGGGTGGAAGGGAGGAGATAGAGGGATGAAGAGGGGTGTGAAGGAAGGAGGGCGGGGGCGACGGGGCGTGGATGGCAGTAAGGTTGGTGGAGAGGGGAGCACCGCAGGCACGACGAGGCGAGATGTGTTGTTTCCCCAGACCTGTACATTCACCAGACCTGTACATTCACCAGACCTGTACATTCACCAGACCTGTACATTCACCAGACCTGTACATTCACCAGACCTGTACATTCACCAGACCTGTAGATCCACCAGATCTGTACATTCACCTGGCCCACTGATGCTTCCAATAGGGTGGCTGCCTGCTCAAGAAGCGCTGGGCGGGTGCATTGGGGGAGAAGGGAGGGTGTGGGTGGACTGTGTGGGTTGGGCAGGGGGGGCATGTGGCATGGATGGCAATCAGGAGGATGGGCGGGATGTGCTGTTTCCGCACACTTGCATGTTCTCCCAGCCCACGAGTGGCTGCCTGCAGGAGGGAGGAGCATAGAGCAGGCAGAATGGGAGAGCACGGAAAGGACGAGGAAGGGAGCGGTGTGGGGGGAGGGTATGGATGGCGCACTGATTGCTTGACAGCAGCGCTGCAAGCGCAAACCTTCAGGGAAAATACCTTGTGTGATTGAACACTGCCTTGAGGGTGCAGCAGAGAGTGATATGTCTCCAGCAACTCAGCAGCAGCAACTCAGACGCAGCAACTCAGAAGCAGCAACTCAGACGCAGCAACTCAGACGCAGCAACTCAGAAGCAGCAACTCAGACGCAGCAACTCAGAAGCAGCAACTCAGAAGCAGCAACTCAGACGCAGCAACTCAGACGCAGCAACTCAGACGCAGCAACTCAGACGCAGCAACTCAGACGCAGCAACTCAGAAGCAGCAACTTAGACGCAGCAACTCAGACGCAGCAACTCAGACGCAGCAACTCAGACGCAGCAACTCAGACGCAGCAACTAAGAAGCAGCAACTCAGAAGCAGCAACTCAGACGCAGCAACTCAGACGCAGCAACTCAGACGCAGCAACTCAGACACAGCAACTCAGACGCAGCAACTCAGACGCAGCAACTCAGACGCAGCAACTCAGACGCAGCAACTCAGACGCAGCAACTCAGACGCAGCAACTCAGACGCAGAAACTCAGACGCAGCAACTCAGAAGCAGCAACTCAGAAGCAGCAACTCAGACACAGCAACTCAGACGCAGCAACTCAGAAGCAGCAACTCAGAAGCAGCAACTCAGAAGCAGCAACTCAGACGCAGCAACTCAGAAGCAGCAACTCAGACGCAGCAACTCAGAAGCAGCAACTCAGATGCAGCAACTCAGAAGCAGCAACTCAGAAGCAGCAACTCACCTGCAGCAGGCTACTACACATGCGAGCATAGCCCTTGAAGGCTGGCCGGCTTGAGTAGTACCCCGTCCAATACTCAATAGAACCACTCGCGTACCTGCCAACAAGGCAGTCAGGCAGTCAGGCATGCCACAAAATGGGACACGGACTGGAGCAGCCAAGCGAGTGGGCACTGGGCACTGTACAATACGGACCCTCGCCTCGCGGCCCACAATGGTAACTTGCTACAGAAACCACATCGAAAAACACGGAGAACGTGTAGGCATTGTCCCCCCCCACTGCATCCCCCTGCAGTAGCTGCAGCGGCAGGCCTGACTTCACCACCATGCTGCTCGCCCGCCCCAGGCACTCCGTGCAGATCAGGACAAAGCTGCCGGCCACCTGAACAGTCACCTGCGCTTGCCACAGCGCAGGGATGAGTTTCCCTCCAAAGGAGGGAACGACGGGCGTGGCAGTGATGTCAGCCACTTGCCCCTGTGTGGAGAGTAGAGTGAGGGAGAGATTGGCGGAGAGCATAGCAGGGTCTGATACAGCTGCCATTCCTGGTGAATCTACTGCGACGATGCGCAGCCACATGGCGGCGCCTGCTTGGACGAGAGGTGGTGCGAATGCGAGCAGCTGCTTCATGGGGCCGGAGGCGGGCGATGCGGTTACCACACACGTGGGCTGGGCGGCAGCGCTACCTGCATTGACGTCCACTGCTGGGGTCGCCGCTACAGTCACGTTCTGCAAGAGCACATCGCCTACAGTCACAAGGATAGCGTAGGCACCGGGCTTGGTGACCCGGTAGGAGATAGAGTAGCAACCGTTGCCGCTGTCCACCACACTCACCGCCGTACCCTCCGCCACCGCTGGCATACCCCTCTGCACCGCTCCATTCCCCCCTGCACCCACCAGCGCCGCTGCTGCTGCCGCCCCTTGTGCTGCGGGCACCACCCCCACCTGCACGTCCTGCCCTGCGCCCCCTGCCAGCAGCACGTTGCCCCACGCATCCCACAGCTGCAGCTGCAGAAACGCTGGGAACTTAGGCACTGCTCCATGCGCCCCTGGCCCGTATAGCAGCGAGGAAGGCGGGTGCAGAGGGCCGGGGAGCACTGTGAAGGGGAACGGGCTTCCTCGGATGTTCCGGCCTGAGAGAAGCACCGAGAGAGAGAGCACCGGCAGAGAGGGTGAGGGTAGCGGGGTAGGTGAGCTGCTGCTGGGAGAAGTTAGAGGCGACTGAGAAGGACGCGGAGAAGAGCGAGAGGAGGGGCTCGGCGGGCAGGTCGGAGCCCATGGCGTCGCACACGTACACTGTGAGGCGCCCCGTCTGCCCCACCGCCACCTCCTGCGCCGCCACCAGCAGCGGCCCTGAGGCGTCCCCACTGGGCTCGCCTGGTGCTACTTGTAGGAGCACGGAGGAGGAGGAGGAGGAGGAGGAGGAGGAGGAGGAGGAGGAGGAGGAGGAGGAGGAGGAGGAGGAGGAGGAGGAGGAGGAGGAGGAGGAGGAGGAGGAGGGAGAGGAGGGCGCGGACGAGGCAGCAGAGGAAGCGGAAGAGGAGGTGGGTGAGGGTGAAGGGCTTTGGAGATTGATGGTCTGCTGGGCGCGGATGAGGGAGAGGGTGGGGGAGTTGTCGCCGTGAGAGGGTGGGGTGAAGCGCAGGACGATGAGCCCTGAGGCCCCATCCACCTCCACTCCCACCCCCGATGGCCCCTCCCCCCACTCACTGCCCTCCCCACCACCGCCGCTGTCACCGCTGCTGCTGCTGTTGCTGCTGCTGGTACCAACACCAGCATTCACTTTTGTCACACTGGCAACAATCACATCAGCGTCGGTGGCAGGGATCTGCGTGCCGTCCGAGCTGACGAGAGCAAACGCCATCTGCGCCTGCTGCCCCGCCACCGCTGCAGGTGCGGCCGCCATGATGGGGGAGAGCGGCGTGGAGGCGGCGGGGAGGAGGGCGGCGGGGAGGGGGATGGCGGAGCGGAAGAAGTTGGGCGCCTTGAACTTGAGGCGGTTGCCCTGTGTGTCCGCCACCACCACCATCACACTGTACGCTCCGGGCAGCTGCATGCAGGCAAAAGGTGGCACGCAGGGAGGAGATGGGCACATCACATGTGTGGTGGAAGGTTGAGAGGGGGGTCGGGAACAACTATCTGCACTGTATGGGAGGATGTGCACTATGCTATGTGCATAACATCGCATAAATTTGTACCACGGGTGGTCATGGGACGCGTTAAGGAACGATCGACTGTGGCGTTGACGTGACTCGTGAGGATCGCACCTTGACTGTGAAGTTGACAGTGAGAACCTCCCCGCCCGCAGCATCAGTGGCGTGGGCGACGGCAAGGGGGAAGGTGCGGCGGCGCGAGTGCGGCATGGGACCGAACAGCTGCACGCGTGACTGTGACAGGTCCACCTGTGATGACAGGCGGAAGAAGGGCGACGACACACCCCCAGGTGCTGCTGATGCTGCTCCCGCCTCCCCCTTCTGAAGCTGCTGCTGCTGCTGCGGTGGCTGCTGCACGGCGTGGAGGCCTGCCTTGGGGCCGGAGGAGAAGGCAACGCGGAGGAGCACGGGGGAGCCGAGAGGGGCTTCAGACAGCAGCGACCCCGACAGCACTGCGGACGACAGCTCTGTCAGACTCATCCCGCCCTCCGTGATCGGGCCCCCCTGTGCTGCCTCACTCCCTCCCCCTCCACCTCCAACTCCCCCTCCCTCTGCTGCCTTGCCTCTCTTGTCTCGCCCTCCGCCCTGCGCCACCTGCTCGCTGCGATGCTGCTTCAGCTGTCTCCCCCGGCCCGCCCCTTGCTGCTCGCCAGCTCTGCTCTCCCCCGCTCTGCCCTCCTCTGCGCCTCCCCCTGCCCTGCCTGCGTCCGCATCAGTTGTGCGCGCTGAAAACTGGAACCCTCCAGCTCTCACCACGTCCTCCTGCCCTGCTGCTGACGTGGCATGCAAGCCCGGTGGAGCGGAGGTCTCCGAAGAGGCTGAGGTGGCAGCAGCTGATTGGAAGAGAGATGGCAGGCGAAGCGGGTCGAGAACAGGGAGGAAGTCAGCGAGCAAAGAGTCCCCCTTGTCCGCCCCACCCGACCCTGAAAGTAAGTCGGGCCCACCCCACCCTAAATGTGAGTCGCCCCCACCCCATCCTGCGTGAGAGTCCGCCTGTCTGCCGTGGAAAGCAACTCCGCCCCTCCCCATGTGCAACCCTCCGCCTCCCCCTCCCCCCTCCCCCACCCCCTCCACCAGCATCCTTTGACTTCCTTTCATGCACCCCCGCCCTCTCACGCCCGCTCCCCTCCGCCTTGCTTTCCCTCCCGTTCCCCCCCACTGCACCTGCTTGCTCCACCACATCCCCCACACGGCTGCCATCTCCGCCACTTGCATCACTCTCACTCCCCTCCTCCCCATGGCACTCCTCCTCGCCTCCCACCCGCGGCTCCCCCAGTGCGTCTCTCCCGCTGCCCGCCTGCCCTGCATGCCATGTCAGCAGCCGCTGCTGCCACTCCGCCAATGGAGCCCTGCCACGCCACTCAGTGACGTCACGTCATCACATGCCACACCATTCCGGGAAACCGCAGTCAATGTCATCACATGCCATGTCAACGGGTCACCACGCAATACCACGCCAAGCCAGACGATTGGCAGTCAAAGCCACGTCAATAAAAAGGTTGTCAGTTAAGCCACGTCGGTGGAGCAATTGTCCGTCAAACCCACGTCAGACAAAACCGCGTCAGCCAACAAAGTTTGAGTTGTGGTGTCAGTCAAAGCTTCGTACGGAGCGAGTCGACACGCCATCACCCTGCAGGGCCTGCACCTCAACTCCGCCCAGCTTGCCTCTCCACCTGTTTATTTGGAGGGTGTTTTTGCGAATAAACTCCAAGAAACACCGAGCAATTCAACAGGCCATCCCGCACCCCCTCCAGCTTGCTCACTCCACCTCTCCACCGTACTTCGCTCCTCTCAATGGCGCATAATCCCTCTGAACCGCTCATTCTCTATTTCCTCTCCCAAGAAATCCAGCTTCAAGCACCTCACAACCAAAGTCAAGCCATTTGTTACTTCACGATAGGGCGACACTCACCCTCTCACGCGAGAGTAAGCGAAGACCGGCGAACGCCTTTCGGAACGACTCGCGAAACGAGTAGCCTTGTTGCTAAAGTCAGCTGAGAGACAAAGACGGTGGGAAACGAGGAAGCGGGAGGATGGCGACCATTAACTCAGCGGGAATGGCGCGCGGGCAACGAAATCACTGGCGAGAAATCTAAAAAGCGAGACGGAATTACTGGCGGTGCTGAGGGGGGGGGGGGAGGACTGCGACGACGGACGACGGACCTGAGCGCGTGGTCGATGGAAGAACGACGAATGTGAAGACGAGGAGAAGAAAGACACGTTGACTCAACTGTGACCGGGCCATGCGGAGACCGAGACGACGTGTAAAGTAACGGCGGTACCACTATCGGCTCCTAACTCGCTAGTTTTCTTGCCATCGCTGAATGGCTCCTACTTACACAACCACTCGCTACAGAACAATAACTTCCGTGCGCTGCGTCAATACTTGGGTGTGGCATTCTCAAGGGTAGACGGGAAGGTGGTGGTGAGTCGTGACCAAGGGAGTGGTTGCAGGAGGATACACGGTGCGAAGGTGGCGTCAGTGGTGGCGCGAAACTGACAATCGCGACCTGAATGCACGCGTTATACTGTACAGATGCATATTATCGTGTAGATTCCAGTAGCCTTTAAACAATGCGGTGGAAAACAAAAGAAGACCAACCTAACGAAGCGCCGATGCCGGGGATCGAACCCGGATCTACCGCGTGACAGGCGGAGATACTGACCATTATACTACATCGACATAATCACGTGAAAAACTAAAACTACTGAGAACCACTTTGTTTTCTCAGGCTCTCGAAGTGAGGGATCCTCGGAAACATTTACCAATGGGACTGGTCCGACACCATGCAATGAACCGCAGATTTGGTCTCAGAAGTTGCGCTAACGCATCACCCTCTCGTCTCGGGCCATGCACCAACAGCTATGCGAAGCTCGAATAGTATATAGCGCATGTTTAGTCCTCTCCAACTTTGGCATCAACAGCAAGCTGTGCACTCTTACATTCATCACTGCCAAGTCAGTGATCGCGCTTACGACCGACAAGAGCTAATGCCATCCATGCCATCCTCTACTTGAACACGTGTCTTTGTTGTAGGACCAGGCACCCGAAGACCTTTTGAGGTGACCCCGTGGGGACTACCTCGTGTGGATTAAAGGTGTGTTAAGAGCTTCTAGATCCCAAATAGTGGTCAACAAAAATAGACACAAAAGAGCGCGACAATTCAGGCCTGGCACCCACCGACAAAGGCGACCGAGTTGTTGTTGTTGTTTTTTTTTTTTGTTTTTTTTTTTTTTTGTTTTTTTTTTCGTCAACTATGTGCGCCAGTTCATCTCCGACATGGCGAAGCTAACTGCCTCGCTGGCTGACCTGCTAAGAAAGAGGGTTGAGTTCACATGGGGTGGAGGAAGAGGAGTGTGCCTTTTCTGCCCTAAACTAAATTTTGTGCTCGCCACCTTGTTCTTCACATCGCATATCCTCACCGTCCGTTCGAGCAAGTCATTGATGCAAGAGGAATTGCCGTTGGAGCAGTACACTGAAGGATCTCGTAAAACCACCTTTAACCAATCGCATACAAGTCTCGCAAGATTCACCCGCATGAATGTAACTACCCAATATACGATAGGGATCTACTCACCATCGCGCACATGGTCTGGCGCTAATACCTTCACGCTGTACCGAATCTCAACCCACGACATATTGGCTGGAGGAACTATCTGGAGTCCAGCTTCCACTACACAGTTACGTACAAATACATTTCATCAAATATTGCCGACGCCCTCACGTCGCCTAACTACCCAACGACTCGTCATACTACTTGCCCAATCCAACCCACTACTTACACGACTATTTACCCACGGCTACCAGACTGACCCATTCTTCACCAACGGAAATTTACGGCAGCTAATAGAGGCAAACGAGAAGTATTTGTGAAAATTACGAGGAATGAAGTGACTAGGCAAAATGTGGGTACAAGTAGGAAACCTAGAAATGTTGTACCCTATTGTTAGAATATATATGTAACTGCCTGTAGCTGTAGTTTAGTGTAGTTATTATAAACTGTTGGTGGTGCACCTTCTTTGCATGCTCTGTTTGCTATATGTACCCTAGTGCTATAGTGAACACCATTCTCATTCTCGACTTTCTCCTTGGCACAACTTGAGAAGAAACGAGAATGAATGAACTATGAATGAATTGGGTACAAGTACTAACCCTAATTGAGTTGTACCGTTTATGAACTACCCCACTATAGCCTACACAATATGCATGAGCTATAATGTTCTGACACACCCCCATAGGCAAAGTGGGGGAGAACAAGGGGTCACAAGACCAGTCAAGCAAAGCAAAGCAAGCTCAGGGTGGATCACAAAGTCACCACACATTCCGAGCACAAGTTCAAGGCCACAAGGCCAGTTCACATGCATGAGTACATATATATAAAAAGGCTAGACAAGCAAGAGCAGATATATATATATATATATATATATGTAACAGTACAAACAAGGTCAAGAGGTGAGCAAGTGAGGCAAGGTAGGCACAAGGCCTAGCTGAGTACAGAAGCGCTGATGGTCACAAGGCGCAAGCGCCTTGGTGAAGATATCAGCAGTGTTGGCCTCAGAGGCCACGTACGCAAGACGTAGCTGACCACGCTGCTGCAGCTCACGACCAAGAAATTAGCGGAGAGCAATGTGCTTCGTTCTGTGCTCAAGTCGTTGCTCCCAACACAAGGCCAGCATGGCCTTGTTGTCTACGTACAGCACTGGAGGAGAACGAGGCGGCTCTCCGAGGTCAGACAGCAGGTAGGTGAGCCAGCGAAGCTCCTGTGCAGCCATGGCTCCTGCGTAGATCTCAGCCTCACAACTGGAGCCGAGAACAGAAAACGAGCGAGTAGCCCGCCACGAAACAGAGCCGGAACCAAAGCTGAAGGTGTAACCCTGTGACGACCACTGCGTAGCCTGGTCGTCAGCCCAAGAAGCGTCTGCGTGCCCAGTAAGGACCACTGGACTCTGCCCTCCAAGCACAAGCCCCATGCCCGACGTACTACACAGATAGCGCAACACCCTCTTCGCTGCAGCCATGTGCTCCGGTCTGTGTCTCCCAGGAGCAACATAGCGTGCGAGAATGCTGAGAGGGTATGCAAGGTCAGGTCGTGTGCAGGTCATCAGGTACATGAGGCAGCCAACAAGCTCTGGGTCCGGGCCACTCGACTCTACGGACTCATCCGAAGGCAGAGCTGAGAGCGAGTGGCGAGTAGGCAGAGGAGTGGCCTGAGGCGAGGAGTACGTGAAGCCGAAGCGCTGAAGGACCTGCTGCACCATGTGTGACTGAGTCAGGGTAATGGTGCGGCGTGCTCTGTCCCGGGTGATCTGCAAGCCAAGGTAGCTGCGCAGTTCACCCAGGTCTGTGCACGTGTGTCTCTTCTGCAGCTCGGACTTCACGTGGACGAGTCCAGCAGTGTCAGCTGTGGCAAAGACCAAGTCGTCGACGTATACGAGGATGTAGAACGGCGGCAAAGAACCCGTTTCTCATCCTCTTCCTCATCCCTTCCGCCTGCCCTAGGTTTCTCGTACCTTTTCCTCTTCCTCCGCTCCTGCCCCCACTGTTCCTCGTCCTCCTTCTCCTCCTCCTCCTCCTCGTCCTCTTCCTCGTCATCCTCCTCCTCCTCCTTATCCTCCTCCTTGTCCTCCGAGTCGTACACCTCCTTTTCTTCCTCCTTCAGGTCCTTCGTTTCGGCATCAAGCTCAGCCTTCCCCCGGAAGGCCTCAAATCCTGACTCGTGAACATACTGTCAGATTTATATGACATAGTTGCTGTAGGCTATAGTGGGGTAGCACATATGGGGTACAGGGTTTCTAGGGTTGTATTTGTACCCAATCTTTCCTTAGTCATTTCATTCCTGTTTTCTTTACTCCACATGGTATAGAGCGGGTCCTACCTTAGGACCGTTTTTTTTTAGGGCCCACCGAAGCGCGCCCCGAGGCGCGCCTTTTTTTTAGCGACCCCCTCGGGTCGCCTTTTCCCTCGCGGCCCCGCTGTCCCTCAGACGCGGCCCCGCCACCTCTCCTGATCGCGGCCCCGCCGCCTGTTTGACGCGGCCCCGCCGCCTACCCTGACGCGGCTCCGCCGCCTCTCCTGACGCGGCCCCGCCGCCTGTCTGACGCGGCCCCGCCGCCTCCCCTGACGCGGCCCTGCCGCCTCCCCTGACGCGGCTCCCCCGCCTCCCCTGACGCGGCACCGCCGCCTCCCCTGACGCGGCTCCGCCGCCTCCCCTGACGCGGCCCTGCCGCCTCCCCTGACGCGGCTCCGTCGCCTCTCCTGCCGGCCCGCCACTGCACCTGCCGGCCCGCCGCTGCACCCAGCGGCCTGCCGCCTCTGACGGCCTCGCCGCTGCACCTGCCGGCCTGGCTGCTACACCTGCCGGCCCGCCACTGCACCCTACGGCCCGCCACTGCACCCTACGGCCCGCCGCCTGCACCTGCCAGCCCGCCGCTGCACCTGCCGGCCCGCCACTGCACCTGCCGGCCCGCCGCTGCACCTGCCGGCCCGCCACTGCACCGGTCAACCCGCCGCTGCACCTGACGGCCCCGCCCCTGCATCTCCTTGTCAGAATATTATCTTATTGTTCTAGCCTGTAGTGGGGTGCTCTATAGCGAGTACAACCCTTCTAGGGTTTGCTATTTGTATCCTCATTCTTGCTAGTTCAATCCTCTTTCTTCCTTCTAATTTTGACATGCTATCAGAGCAGGTCGATCCCCTTGGATCGATCCTGTGGGTGTGTCCCCACCTTGCTTCCGCTGCTATTTTTTCCTCCCGCCGTGCGCCCCGAGGCGCGCGGCGGTTCATTGCCCGCTGTGCGCCCCGAGGCGCACGGCGGGCTTCTCCTCTACGTCGCGGCCCCGCCCCTCGAAGTGGCCCCGCCCTACGTCGCGGCCCCGCCCCGACCGACGCGGCCCCGCCCCGGACCCTACGCGGCCCCGCCCTACCTTCGCGGCCCCGACCTGTCGCGGCCCCAACCGACCGTCGCGGCCCCGCCCTACGTCACGGCCCCGCCCCGACCGTCGCGGCCCTGCCCCGCTCGTCGCGGCCCCGCCCCTTGTCGCGGCCCCGCCCTCCCCTCAGGTCCGTGGTGCCCCCCCCCCCCCCCCCCCCCCCCCCCCCCCCAATTCCCGTCGCCTGTCGCGGCTCCTTCGGGGGCCGCAAGCGGCCCCCTCAGGTCGCCTCGACAGGACGACGGGAGGGGCGAGCTGTGGGGTGGCGGGTATGGGGGTGACCGGTGTGCCTTCCTCCCTTTCTCCTCCTCCTCC